CACTCGGTGCACGGGTAGGGCTTCTCGCCAGTGTGGATGCGCCGGTGTGAGGTCAGGTAGGGCTTGTTGGTGAAGCGCTTCCCGCACTCGGGGCACTGGTGGGGCCGCTCGCCCGTGTGCACGCGGCGGTGGGCAATCAGGTTGGGTTTGTGCCGGAAGCGCTTGCCACAGCAGGCACACTGAAAGGGACGGTCAACGGCATCTCCCCCGGGCCGGGGGGCAGTCACTGCCGGGCGGCCCCTGGGCCGGGGCCCCAGAGCTTTGGCTGCTGCCTCCTCCAGGGCCTCGGCTACATGCACCCGTTTGTGAGCAACTAGCTGGTCCCACTGGGCAAAGCTCCTGCCACAATTGCCACATATGAATGGCCGGGCCTCAGGCGTAGGGGGATGGCACCTCCGCAGATGCACTCGAAGCTGCTTTCGTCGCCAGAAGCGTCTCTCACACTCAGGGCAGGCGATGGGCCGCTTGGCAGCCGAGTGGGCCCGCAGGTGCAGAACCAGGGCCACCCAGCCTGGGAAGCTCTGCTTGCAGAGGTGGCAGGAGAAGCCCAGGTCTGGAGTGGCAGCCGCATGGACCTGGCAGTGCAGTGCCAAGAAGGGGCGTGCCGGCAGCAATGGTCACATTCCGGGCAGGCCAGGGGCAGCCGGGCCTGGGCCTGGCAGTGTCGGGCATGAAGCCACAGGGCCACCCAGCCGGGGAAGTGCCGGCGACAGTGGGCACAGCGATGGACCCGACCTGGAGCCTGGCTGCCTGGCTGGGCCACCGAGGTGCCCTGTAACCTCAGCCCGTGGGGCTCCTTCTCCAGGTTCTGGGACGACTCCCGGGAGGGCCCAGAAAGGAGCGGGGGCTGGGCCGAGCCCATGGCCACGGGGGCCCTGCAGCGTCGTTCCAGCATCGGTTCTTCCTCTGCTGTGGGTGGAAAAGCACAGTCACACCAGAGGTCCACTCGCCCTGCCCCCATTCCTCCCTGGCCACCCCAGCCAGAGGGAGCTCTCCCCGCTGGGTCCCTAGAGCCCTTGAATCTAGGCTACTCTTCTATATTAGTTCAATCTTGGGCTTCCAGACACATTGCAAGTATATTTGTCATGAGTCTTATTGACCCTGACACTTCTTGGAATCCCCCTCCTGGCCGCCATGTGCCTGGCATGGAGTAAACACTCCATATCGGCTGCACAAGCATTTCTGCCTCTCCGGAAAGCATACCGCCTCTCTCCGGGGTGCTTCGTGCTTTTTCCAAGTGCAGCCCTGCTGCCCTCTCCTGTCCCTGCGACTTCCTGTTGCCACAACAGCTTCACAGCAGCTCTGTGAGGCTGGATGAGCAAACATTAGGCTCTCTGTTTGGTAGATGTAGCAACCAGGAGGCATAAAAGGTGGTAAGACTGGCCTGAGAGGACACAACCAACAACAGAACCAGGATTAGGTCTAAACTCCCAGGCCAGTGTTCTTCCCTCTGAAAACCCGGGTTTGTAATGCTCTCACAGAAACTGCTCTAGCCTTTCATTCCTATTATCTTCTCCCTGATGTTAATCACAGCAGAGGAAGGCTTTTTCCGCCTCCCTAACTCCGTCTCTCAGGGTAGAAGCCAGGAGAGGGGGTGGGAACAGCCCTGCTGGGAACAGGAGGGGAGCTGGATGCTGCTCCCAGCAAGAGGCCAGGCCACCGCCTGTCCAGACGGTGCCCACGTTCTGCCCACCTGCCCCCCTCCACCCACACATGCATGATTAGGGCATTGCAGGAAGGAACACTCACAACCTGCTCCCCCAGGGGCCTAGGGCCCTGGCGCGGCCTCCCTTGGATGGAAGGGATTATTGGGGCAAGAGCAGGGGAGGAAAGAAGGGATTATGTCTGGTCCTGCCCCAACCCCGGCAAGGGCTGCCCCATTTTCAGAAACTCCAAACTGCCAGGGAGCCCAGATTCCTGCAGGACAGCCTCCTAAGCCCACTAAAGGGTGGATGGGGTTAGACTCCTCAGGGACCCTCACTTCCCCGTTGAAAAGCTCCAGACACATCCTCCTAAACTCCCTAGAGTCTGCACTCCTCTGAGGATCACAGACATGACTCATTCCCAGCGGCCAGACTGAGAGCAGGGAAGGCTCCAGGACAGGAGAATGGGATCCTTCCCCCACAGGCGCCCTTCCTTCCGGGGACGGGGGCCAGAGCCCGGGGGCTGTGGAATGGATGGGGAACCCAGTGAAGAAGGCCGGACTCTACCCTGGAGGCTGTGGAGCTGGAGATGAGGTTTTTTCCAGCTCCTGCTGGGGAGGCTCCTGCGGCTGTAGCGCCGGCTTCGGCCCACACTCCGGTGGCCCCCAGACGTCAGAGAAAACTGCAGGAGTAATGACACCCCTACCCCCATGGCAGAGCTCAGGCCTCGGGCTGCAGAGAGGCCAGC